GGCCTAGTACTATTTTATTATCAATTATTTCGCTTATGTTTATTTTAACTGCTTTAAGTATTTGGGTGCCACACATTGGGTGCACAAATTTTTATAATTATTATAACTTCTTGCTGGATTGTCCTCTTAATGATTATATAGCATCCTTTTTTGTCTCTTGTCACAGTCTGCTTAAAGTCTATTTTGTCTGATATAAATATTGCTACCTCAGCTTTTTTTTCACATCTATTTGCTTGATAAATATTTCTCCATCTCCTCACTTTCAATCATGCCTATATCTTTAGCTCTGAAATGAATCTCTTGTAGATATAGATGGGTCTTTTTGTTAATCCATTCCATCACCCTATATATTTTGATTGGAGTATTTTGTACATTTACATTCAAAGAAACTATTGATAGGTATGTATTTATTGCCATTTTGTTACTTGTTTTATGATTGTTTTTATAGTATTTCATTCTTTTCATCTCTTGTTATCTCTTGGTTTGCTGGCTTTCTTTAGTGATATACTTGGATTCCTTTCTCTTTAATTTTTGCATGTCTATTACTCATTTTTTATTGCTGGTTACCATTCAGTTTGTATATAACATCAATATATAGCAGTCAATATTAAGTTGATGGTTGCTTAAATTTGAACTCATTCTTTACTCCTCCTCCCATATTTTAGGTGTATGGTGTCATACTTTTTATTTGGTGAGTCCTTTGACTGATTTTTATAGATACATTTATTTTACTGTTTTTATGTTTCCTACTTACCATACTCTTGCTTATGGTCTTTTCTTTCTACTCAAAGAGTCCTCTGAAGCATTTCGTAGTGGACTGGCTTAGTGGTCATGAATTCTTGTAACTTTTGTATGTCTGGGAAACTCTTTATGTCTCCTTCTATTTGGAATGATAGCCTTGCTGGATAGAGTATTCTTGGCGGCAGATTTTTCCCATTTAGCACCTTGAATATATCATGCCACTTCCTTCTGGCCTACAAAATTTCTGCTGAAAAATCTGCTGACAGGCTTATTGGTCTTCTCATGTATGGAACTACTTTCTTTCCTCTTATCTCTCTTAAAATTACCTCTTTAACAGTATATTTTCCCATCTTAACGATTATGCCTTTTGGTGTAGATATCTTCGAATTGATTTTGTTGTACTTCCTGGATCTGGATTTCTGTTTCTTTCCTCAGATTAGGGAAGTTTTCAGCTATTAATTCTTGAAATAAATTTTCTGTCCTTTTTTTCTTTTCTTCTGAGATTTCTATAATGTGAATGTTATTATGCTTGAGAGTATCACTGAGTTGCCTAAGTCTCTTCTCATTTTGCATTTTTTTCTCTCTACAGCTTAGCTTGATTACTTTCCATTACTCTGTGCTCTAATTCACTGATATGTTCTTCTATTTCACATGGTCTACTCTTTATTCCATCTAGTGTATTTTTAATTTCATTTATTGTGTTCTTCATGTCTGATTGGTTATTTTTTATCTCACTGTTAATGGTCTCACTGATGTCCTCCACTCTTCCCAAGTCCAGTGAGTAACTTGTTGAACATTACTCTAAATTACCTATTAGGCATTTTACTTATATCAATTTGGCTTAGGTCTCTTGCTGTGATTTTGTCCTGTTTTTTTCTGTTTGTTTTTTTTTTGTTGTTGTTTTTTCATTGTTTTGTTTTTGTTTTTTTCATTTAGAACCTATTCTTCTGTCTCCTTATTTTTTCTAAATCTCTGTGTCTGTTTCTGTGTGTTAGGATCTTAGGAAAGACAGCTACATCTCCTGCACTGGAAAATAATGGCCTTATCAAGAAAAGGTCCTGTCATGTCCTGCTGTGTATTGTCCCCTATTCACCAGAACCTGGAATTTCTGGGGTATCTCCTATGTGTGTTGCATGTGCCTGCTATTGTGGCTCACCCACGTTTTCCTTCAGACAGTTGTCGGCAATTGCTCCCTTGCCTTTGTGGGCACAGTGCTTGGTCCCTGTGGTGTTTGTAGGCCAGTCTGAGGCTGCCTTGGGCTTGAGTTGAGTCAGACAGGTGTTTGCCAGAGATGCAATAGCACCAAACTTAAGAGTGCTTTCCCTGTGTTGTTCCTAATAAGCTTTCTTTCGTGGGCAGTGAATCCAGTTTTCTGCCTCCTGCCCACTGCTGGGGCTGCTGTCTTACTAGTGTGAGTGGGATTATCTTTCCCTCTTCCTAGTGCAGTAGTTACTTGGGAGTGGTGCTGGCCACTGTAGGGGATGCTTGCACACTGCCAGGCCTGTGGCACCACCCTGTTTGGGATCTGGCCAAGACAAGACTGTATTGGAGAGGGTGGACCCCCGGAAGCACAGTGCAGGGGTGATGCAGTCGGGCGGCAGTGCTAACAAGTTAGGTACTCAGTCCCTCAGGTGGTCATGTATTTACTCTGGGGAGTGGGGTAGGAAATGGCATCTGCCATTTCCTTTGTTCCTGGAGGAGGTCCATGGAGATGTCTGTCCTACTGGGACTGGCTCTGGGATTAGTAAATAATTCTCCTTCCCATATGCTGCAGGCACCTTTCAAACTGCTGCTTCCATGCTGTTATCTCCATGGGCCTTTTTTTGTGTTTTCTCTTTAAGGACATATTCTCAGTTTCCTATCATCTTCCTGGCTCTCCTAAAGCATAGCCTGCTGATTTAAAAAAAAAATCTTTATTTATTTTTGAGAGACAAAGAGAGTGCAAGTGGGGGAGGAAGAAAGGGAGAGGGAGACACAGACTCCAAAGCAGGCTCCTGGCTCTGAGCTGTCACCACAGAGCCCAATGTGGGGCTCAAACTCACAAACTGCAAGTTCATGACCTGAACCAAAGTTGGACCGAAGTTGGATGCTCAACCCACTGAGCCACCCAGGCACATCCCCCCTCCCCTTTTTTACTTCTGGGCTTGAAGTCCCACTGCTTTTAAGAACTCAGGAAATTAGCCCTTCTGGTTTTCAAAGCCAAATATGAAAATTCATATTCTGGGTGCCCTCGTGTGAAAATCTGTTTCTTTCCCCTTTCTGCCTCAGTGGCATCCCTCCCCCTCCCTGAACAGTCCTAGGAGTCCATTTAGCTCCTGACTATGTCTCTGCCTTTCTTACCCTCTTCACTGTGGCCTCATCTACATTTAATTGTGGAGTTCATTCTGCCAGTCATTGAGTCATTTTATAGGTTATTTACACTGATGTGAGTGTTATTTTGTTGTATTCATTAGGAGGAGGTGAGCCCAGGTTTCTCCTCTGCCATTTTCCCTGGAAGTCCTAATTAGCCTTCTATATATATATAGAAGCCTTCTCTCTCTCTCTCTCTCTCTCTCTCTCTCTCTCTCTCTCTATATATATATATATATATATATATATATATATACACACACATATATATAATCACTTTTGTACTATCGTAAAATCAAAAATTCATAGTTGAACAATTATAATTTGACCATCTGTACTAAATGCCTATAATATGCAGCTCATTGGACAGAAATAAACTTTCCTATTGAAACAGCATCATGCCACTCTTTTTTTTTTTACTTTTTTGAGCTCCCTATTTTTTTCCATAATAATAAAGAAGTGTTCTCTCTCTAAGGGAAGCAATTTATGACAACAGGAAAAGGGATCTTTAATGTGAAATTTCATAAAAATGGAAAAATTATTTATATACATTGACAATAACCACATACAAAAGAACATCATATTTTAAAATGAATTTGAATAAAAAATAGAATTCTAATACTAATTACAAAGTGTTCTGACAAATGCAATGGGGAAAAGTTTTAGTCTGGGTGACAGAAGAACCAGTCATATTCTTTTCTGGATTTTGAGGCTTTGGAGTTGTGCTGGGACAAGGGTAGTAGTAACTGCCACATTGCACAACTTCAGAATGCTCCATTCACATAGTGTTGTATGTTAATATCACCCCCTGCTGTTGTGCATTGAATGCAGCCTGCATAGGAAAAAGTAGCAATCTTACTGCTGATATTTTTCTTTAAAGCTTGTTCTATGATTCTCTGCACTGGATTTGGCTCTTTGCTTTTGTATTCTTGGTCTACACTCTTGCAGTTTTTCAAAGCTGACTTTAGCATAGCAGCTTTGATCCCTTCAATGTTCTCTTCAAAATGCTACCTACATGCTAAGCCCTATGTCTTTCATATAAGGTCTTGTCTGTACCAGCATTAAGTTTCCTCCATTTGGTTCATGTTCTTCACTATAAAGGAGATAACTTCATTTCCTTAAACAGAAAGAACCACTTTCCAAGTAGAGCCATAGCTAACACTATATTCTGACATGCAACTTCTTGATACTACTGGATGAATATTAATGCTGTTCTCTATCAATATCAGTCAATATTTTTACAATTTTGCAACACATGGCATGCTACAATTATATGGCAATACTAACATGAATTAAATCTAGTCTCTATCTTCGAATTGCTTATAGTCTCCTAAAAGAGGACGACAGGATCCTAGAAAATTAACTCAGCATAACTTCCTTGAGGGGAGTATGATTTCACTGGCTCTGTGAGGGCATGAGTTCCTATTCTTCATGTTCCCAGCCTCTAGCACATGCTTTATTATTTGGTGATTTAAAAGATACTATTCTAGTGGTGCCTGGGTGGCATAGTCAGTTAAGCATGGACTCTGGATATCTGCTTAGGTCATGATCTCAGAGTCGTAAGATCAAGTCCCCATGCTACACTGAATGTGGAGACTGCTTGAGATTTTCTGTTCCTTTCTCTCTCTGCCCCTCCCCTGCTTGTGCTTGCTTGCTCTCCTTTTCAAAATAAATAAGCCTAAAAAGATGTTATAGCACATGAATAAAAGGCTGTATTAGCCTATCAAGTAACAGCTTGGTTGAAATTAAGAAAAATTCCAAAGAAGAAAGAGTATTCAATCCTAGCTTTGCAAAATAAGATACTGGTAGGCAGAGAAGACAAAAGAACATTCCTGGCATAGATAATACAATAATAGCATGAACAAAGTCATATATACAAGTTATCTCTGCCTGGTGCTCTCTTTCCCCAGATACCATGTCTCACTCTACTTCGTTCAAGTGTCAAATGCCACCTTACTAGAGAGAGACTCCTTCCTTGATGACTGTTTTGTAAGTAGCTTTCTATCCCTCTTTCCTTTACCTCATTTGAAAATTTATTTATTACTAACTTACACATATATACATTTTATCTATTGTTTAGGTGTCTGTTTGCCCTGATTTAAATATAACCTCCATAAGTTAGAGAAAATACTATTTAGTTTGCCTACTGGTAAAGCCTCAGATGCAAGAACAATGACTAATGCAAAGGAGATGTTGTGTTTTTGTTTTTAAGGCAGTGAGGCAGGTAGGAAGGAATAATTGATTGGGAGTCATGACTATTAAGGATAGCTTTAATTAAGCAACTTTCTCTCCTCTGGTTCAGCTCAATGGCAAACAAACTAAATACTTGGTCACCACATTCACCACTGAAGAGATTCCCAGACTTACCACCACCATTTCTCCACAGAGGCTCTCTACCTTCCCCAAAAGAACAGGCACTTCACTTTGATAAGTTGCTAATCCTTTCACATTAGCAGATCCAGTCATTTTCAACCATACTTTTGTACTAGCAGAGAGATGATCTTTGCAATAGAAATAAAAACTTGCATGATTCTGGTTGTATCTGAATGAACACTGCCCTGTGAAATTGCCTTTGGTGCTACTTGTAAATGCTATATTTCAGTTTCATGACCTGTATCTATAATCAGCATCTCTGATAAGATTTGCCTTCCTTACTCGTATCCATTTCAATGTTCACGTCTTTATTATTCTTCTTAGGTATGCCTTCTTGCAAAGCAAATTCTACACCTCATTTCACCTACATTTGCCCAAGCACAGGTAACTATTTCATTGCCTCAAACAGCTCTCTGAACCCAATCATGCGCTGCTTTGTTTAATATTTGTAGTGTCATGCCTGTTTTCTGCATGGATTACCTATCACTATTTTTCTTAAGACTCTGTTTTCATCATGTCTGCTTATCTTGAACCAGTTTTTGAAGGATTTTATATGTTGAAGTTCAGTCTTAAAGTTTAGCAAAGCTCTTTAGTTATCCAAATGAGCTGTAAAAGGCTAGTCTTTAAACCTACCCTCTCTAACGCACAACTTGGCTTTCTTATCAAATTTAAACTGGCTTAGAAACAGCAGAGTGGAAGTGAGTCACACTAACTGCAATGTGTCAACTGATATTCTAAGTCAGCTGCTTTACCTAGTATCTAAGGAAGCAGGGCTAGCGGACACCTTTCATAGAGCATTTTTTCTCTAAAATTTTTGTTCTGACCTGGAGGTAAAACATAGCAGTCAAATCTCAAAACACTGGCTAATTCAAGACAAATTTATTATATGACTATTATAGGACAAATTATTATATGACATACAACAATGTAAATCTAGATATATAAAACTATATGAAAATATGTATACATATACACTGTATTGAGTCTCTCCTTCCGAGAATATGGAAGCTATTTATTCAGCTGTCTTAAAATATTTTTCAATAAAGTTTTTAAAAATTGGCAACAATCACATTGCTTAGAAGTGTGACAAGATCTGAGAGCTAGTAAGCAGAAATCTCAGAAACAAACCTCTCATGGGAGTTTTTGAATAATCAAATATTTGTGCTTACACGTCTGACTAGACTACAATGGAAACATATTTTTCTCTGTTCCTCAAGTGCTCAATGGAATATGAGCTGTAGGCTCATAGTTTCCAGGCTATATTCACTAAAGACTGCCTGAGAAGTTAAGAGATATGTCAAAATCAGACATTTCACCAGAGGCAGTATTAGAAATCAGAACTTTTGTGATTTCAGTAAGCAATTCCAGCACCCAAGTCTGCCATGCTTAATAAATATGTCCACATTTGACTCTTGAACAACGATGGGAGTTAGAGGGAGGTTGACCACCCCTGATGTAGGTTCAAAATCTGCATATAACTTCTGACTCCTGAAAATCTTAACTATTAATAGCCTACTGTAGACCAGTAGCCTTACCAATAACAGAAACAATCGATTAACATGTTTTATATATGTATTATATGCTGTATTCTTATAATAAAATAAGTTAGAGAAAATAAAATCTTAAGGAAATTATAAGGAAGAGAAAGTACATTTATAGTACTGTATTTATTGAAAAAAATCTGCATACGCAGACCTGCATGGTTCTAACCATGTTGTTCGAGAGTCAACTATATATGTTTCGATGACTGGATTAATGAGTTTAAATTTATTCTGTGAGTCAGTTCATTTTTAGAATTAGATTTTGCAGATGTGACATTCATAATATGTAAAAACTTCTTTGGACACAAAGTATATCCCCAAAATATGACATAGATCTGGTGGCTTAAAAATAAGTCTAGATCGTACCAGTGACATCTTGAAGTATAAGGCCCTTAAACCTATCACCTATTCTGAGCTTCTCAGTCAATAAGAAAACTTTTTTACCCATTTGTGGATAAAAAACCCATTTTCATGTTTTTAACCAAGTATAATCCACTTTATTATCATGCTTGTCCAAATAGAATTTTCCCAATTATTCTTTAAAAGCCTATGCAGTAAAACAGATTCAGCCAGAACACACTATTATACCTTTGCAATGCACTTTTATACTTCGAGATATAAAGAACTTGATTCCCTAGTCATGTCAAGAGAAGCATTATTACATTCCTGTCCTTACCTTGTGTTCACATCAGTGAGATGAGCTTTTGCTTCAATGCTCTGTGTAGTCCAAAAGCCCATCAGTTTTGATTACATGAGTTCAAATAATGATTTTAGAAAGTGAGGAGTTAATGATCTAAAAAGGTAGGAGGCAGGGAAACCAGAAACTGTAGATATATCGAGGGTCATAAAAATAACACAAGATTTAGATTTAAAAAAAAAAATTTGGTTCAAATCACATCTCTTACATGCTGAAAACTCATGGGCTAGTTCCATGGAACTCCACTGGAATTTGTCCAATGGAGATATATTTCTGTAAAAACTAAATTAGCACTTTCTGTTTATTTCAAGCATACTGAGGTTCAATAAAGTAGCTACCAGCCACTTGTGGCTATTGAGCGCTTGAAATGTAACTAGTCTGAATTATGATATACTGGAAATATTAAATACTTCTCAACTATTTGAAGACTTAGTGACAAAATAAAACATCCCATTAATAATTTTACATTAATTGGATGTTGAAATGATATTTAGATATATAGGGTTAAATAAGATATATTATTATTAAACTTAATTTTTTCATTTACTTTATTAATATCATTACTACAAAGTTAAAAATTAAAAATATTTCTGTTGTACAGATCTGCCCCGTATGTTTGCTCTTTTGTCGCCACTAGACTAAAGTTATTCTGAGAGGAGGGATTTTATCTTCCTTATCTTACTGTACTACTAACTGGTGAAAATTCTGACATAAATATAAGTATATATATATAATTTACATTGAATGAATATAGTAACTTTAATCCTGAGTTTTTAATGCAGTTTCCTAAAGAAGTATCATTGTCGCTATAAGCAGACAAATTCAAACCATCCTCCCTTTATTTTCTATCCCATTTGTTACTCAGAGTTCCAAACAACATTTGTTTTGGTCTCATTGTTGTATACAGCCCACGGGTCAAAGGAGAAATTATGAACAAAATGAGAAAATATATTGAATTAAATGCAAGTTAAAACACGACCTATCCAATTTTCAAAAATGGATTTTAATCAGTGCCTAGAAGAATATTTATGGAAAATAAAGTTTAAATTAGAATCTAAACCTCCACATTAAAAATGATTTTAAAAAACCAAA